TAAAAAATTTTTTTATAAAAAACCTCAATGCAGTTTTATTTTAAAATTTTAAGTTATAATATGTACCAATGTTTCATGTACTAGTGTATATATAGAAAATTCTCTTTATAGACAAAGTATGACTTTATTATTTACCTGTTTTTTTTGAAAATCTTTCAGGTCATGTTCATCTGCAAGATGTGAATTCATGTTGGTTGTTGACCCTCTGGGAAGGTATTTATATGATTTTCCACAAATTTGTTCTTCTCCATTAGGTTTTTTAATTTTAACTTTACATATTGAATCTTCTCCTTCTATTTCAAAATATTTCCAGCATTTTGCAGATGGTTTAGTTGATTCACAACAACGCTTATGTCTTTGAGTATTTTTTGACATGGTTTGGGAACCTTCAGGCTGAGGATTATTTTCCAACATTTCATCCATTTCTAGTAAATCATCTGATTGTGAAGCTTCAGGCTTAATATCTGACATTGTTATATTTTAATTGAAGTCTTTAAATTAAGATGATTTTACTCAGATTAAAAAAGAATGAAAATTTGGTAAAGAAAAAAAATGCACTACAAGAAATATATTTCTTGCAATTTAAGAAGAATTTTAAGTTACACTTTATTAGTTCTTTGTGATCTTATTTGGATTATCTATGTTATATCGACACTAATTGAGATGCCATATATACGTATGCATCCGATATGAGTATCATCAAGGAAAAACCTGCAAGTTTGCTTATAGGTTTTTCCTTAACAACACTTATACGATGCTCTTTGTAAATTTTCTTTTCATATGCTATTTTTTATTTTTAGATGAAAGAACAATACACAATGGCACTAATTTAAAACTGTTATTGTTTAGCAATTAATATTTTAGAATTTGTTCAGTATTTGACGGCAAATGAATCTACAACATACTGCATTATTACTGTACATGGAGTTGCATTCAGATGCCATTGACACAATCAATTATATACAATTCACAATGCAGCAATTCAATAATCTTTTTAACAATAAGTTTCGTTTTTTTTATTGTAGTTTAAATCTGGTTATATAACTGAGTTATTTGCTTTTAAATTATAGGTTCCAAGTATGAACCTGACTCTCTGTCAGATTGATCACATCTTACGAATATGCAATTACCACAGGTTTTGGGTGTTTATTCTTTCTTTGACACCTTGCTTTATGTGGTAAAAAACATTCTGAACTAAACCATTCAGGTTTATGATTATTAAGTCCTTTATGGATGGGCACAGTCAGGTATA